GCTGCTAGCACAGCACTCCTCAAGGTATGGTGTCTGATGGCTTATTGGATGATGTGGCTGTATCTTGGCAAATACCTGGAATCCATTTCACGGGGTTATGATGGGGGGTTCTCTGTAATAGATTTGTTCTGCCAGGTATGGGACTTCTCATTATCTAACCAGCCTATACCTGGATCTGAGATTCCCGAGTATGGGGTAGGTAGATCCTTGGGGCTCTTCTTTCATTCTGGTTCCTCAGCCAGCATGCTCCTATATCTATAAAGAGTAGGCAGAGTGCTTGACTCCCCTTAGCATCTAGGACAGTGGTTCTCAACCTTCCTAATGCCGCGACCCTTTAATACAGTTCCTCATGTTGTGGTGACCCCCAACCATAAAATTATTTTCATTGCTACTTCATAACTGTCATTTTGCTACTGTTGTGAATTGTAATGTAAATATCTGATATGCAGGATGTATTTTCATTGTTACAAATTGAACATAATTAAAGCATAGTGATTAATCACAAAAACAATATGTAATTATGTATGTGTTTTCCGATAGTCTTAGGCGACCCCTGTGAAAGGGTCGTTCAACCCCCAAAGGGGTCGCGACCCACAGGTTGAGAACCGCTGATCTAGGAGAACTGCTCTAAAAATGACTGAAACGGGAAATCACTAAAACCAGAATGTGTTAATGACAGAAATGGGGTGGTTTCATGAAATTTGTATGCTAGTCCCAAGACTTCCACTAATGACCTGTGTGACTTTGGGCGAGTCATTGAGCAGTAGCAGTGATGGCTGGAATGGGGCCTGGCACTTAGTAGGCTCTCTGTGAGGTCCTCTGCTATTATCATTGTTATAGAGGGTAATTATTCCCAGTACTAAGCACTGGTGTGTATTATCTTACTTAATCCTTAAAATTATTGAGTCTTGTTATTCTTGCTGTCCCAGGGTGACCTGAGGACTGAAGTCCGGACAATTTTAACTCCTAGGCCCATGCTTTCAATCTCCATTGCTACACCTAATTTCCTTAGGCTTCAGTTTTCTCATCTGTAAAACTTGAGAGCTGGACTATTGGTCTTTAAATCCTTCGAGCTCTAAGATTTCCAAGTATTTTCCCCATAACCTTCTTTTTTCCCCCACAACCCTTTTCCACCCACAGTCTCATACTGTAAATCTCAGTGAATTCATTATCACGAGACCTACAGGATGTTTTCCCCACTGAGCTGTAACATTGCATGTGTCAGCATGTGGACATGTGTTGTGGCTCTTTTGTTGTTCTTGGACCTGGTTTACATGTTGCTGCTGTTGGGAGAGGAGGCATCTGACTCTTCAATTTTACTGTTTTATCTTGGCCTGCAGCCATTTCCACGTTGAGTTACTGGAGTATTTGACTGGGCCAGAGAAAGGCTTCATGGGAGAAGCCTGTGCAATCAGCTCTTGGGGGCTGGGCTCTATGTGGTTCTTTGGGAGACCTGGTTTGTAGCACTACATTCTCCAGACGGTTTGCACATGTCTGGTCCGTGGCTGGTAAGGATCTTAGGAGAGCGACTTGGGAGAGAGATTTCTGGGCCTTGCATTTTCTGTACAGCTTGGGTGCCCTAGCGGTTTTCACATGGGGAGTTTCACAGATCATTTCATCATGGTTCCATCGTAATTGATGTTTGTAAATTGTTTCAGTTGAGTGGTAGTTTTTTTATAATCTCTAGTACTTTTTTTGTGTCTGTGACCCAAAGATTAGAGTGTTTTGGCATTGAAAGACCTGGTTCAAGGGTCATATCTAACACACCTGCTTGTTATGGCCTCTGCTGGATCATTCTTTGGGTGACATTTATGGTGGGGGTGGGGTGGAGAATTAATTTGTCAGTGTCCTGGGATATAAGAATTCTTTCACTTAAAAGCCTGGAGAAAACATCTTAGGAGCTTAGTAACAAAACAAGGACCTGGAAATAAAAAAAACACCTGTTGGATAAATCACTTATCCAACGCAGATTTCTTCATCTATAAAATAATGATATTAATACCTGTCTTACCCTACTAAAGTGACTATTGAATCAAATGAATTATGGTGTGAAAATACATTTCTGAAAATTATAAATTCTATACAAACATTAGTTGTTTTTAGGAAGCATCACACAACAAAACTAATTGTTTTAATTACAAAAATCCCCCAAAGCTGTTAATGTTTTTATGCTGATTTTCCACAGCACAGATTACTTACTGCAGGTAATAACCTATAATAAAATTTTCTTTTTATTGTGAACCACTTAGAAGGCTATGAGTTCAACTCTTCTAGACTAAAATTAATGCTGTGAGTAGTGAGTTAGTAAGAACTAATATTGTACAAGGTGGATAGTAGCTCTTTTGCAGAAACACATTAATTTTGCATTAATTCAGATTTTATTAAGTCATCATAAAAGTAAGAGCAAGGTTAAATTTGTATAAGGGCAGTACTACTACAAACAAAATTATAAGTCTGTAAAGTATCCTTCTATATACTTAGAATGTAATTGCAGTAAAAGTAAAGGCTAGGCTTTTATGTACTATTTCACATCGGCCTAGAATCAGAATGTGTTTAACGCACATTTTACACTAAAGCAAATATGCCCTACCCCCTTATTCCAAATGAACAAAATGACTCCATTTCTTTTTTTTTTTTTTTTTTGATTGGTAAACCGTGCTTGGATATACCATCTGGAGATTGTTGGGTTTCTGCCAACGTTTTAACTCAGGCTTGCCAAGAGCTACCTGCCTAAGGCAAGAAACTGCACTGATTTAATAGGAAAGAGCATGCTTTTACTTCACCATTTGGTAAAAGAATGTGAAAGTACTTTGGGCAATTTTAATATTTGTTTTACAATGATGGCATTATATTATAGTTAGACTGTTTCCATACTAAAATAATTGGGGAGACAGGGGGATCTAATTGCTTAAATTTGTGTGATTATTTACAAGTCTGATATAGAGGCACATGCAGAGATCTTGATGCTAAAGGCAAATATTTCCCTGTGAGAAGTGGGAGTAAGACAGGGGCACAGAAAAGTAAGGCCAGTGGGCACCATCCAGACCTCCTTGTGGGTAGTGTTGAAAGCCCTAGACCTGCCTGGCTGGCATGGCTCAGTGGTTAAGCATCATCCTATGAACCAGGAGGTCAGGGTTCGATTCCTAGTCAGGGCACATGCCCGGGTTTCAGGCTCAATCCCCAGTGGGGGGTGTGCAGGAGGCAGCAGGTAAATGATTCTCTCATCATTGAGGGTTTTTTCTCTCTCTCCCTCTCCATTCTGCTCTGAAATCAATTTTATATATATACTAGAGGCCCGGTGCACAAAAATTTGTGCACTCGAGGGGGAGGGGGGTCCCTCAGCCCGGCCTGTGCCCTCTCGCAGTCTGGGACCCCTTGGGAGATAACGACCTGCTGGCTTAGGCCTGCTCCCGGGTGGCAGAGGGCAGGCCCAATCCCTAGGTGCAGCCCCTGGTCAGGCTCATAGCAGGGCCGATTGGGGAATTGGGGTGCCGCCCCCTGTCATGCACAGAGCAGGGCGGATTGGGAGGTTGTGATGCCACCCTCAGTCATGCTCAGGGTAGGGCCGATTGGGGGGTTGGGGCACCGCCCCCTGTCACACTCAAGGCAGGGTCGATGGGGAGGTTGCGGTGCCACCCCCTGTCACGCACAGAGCAGGGCCAATTGGGGTTGGAGCGCTGCCCCCTGTCACTCACAGAGCAGGGCCCATCAGGGGGATTGGGGCTCCGTACCCTGTCACACACAGAGCAGGGCGGATCAGGGGGTTGGGGCGCCACACCCTGTCACGCTCAGGGCAGGGCCGATGGGGATGTTATGGCTCTACCCCGTCACACACAGAGCAGGGCCCATGGGGGGTGGTTGGGGCACCACCCTCTATCACCCACAGAGCAGGGCCGATCAGGGGGTTGGGGCGCCACCACTGTCACACTCAGGGCAGGGCCGATCAGGGGGTTGGGGAGCTCCCCCCTATTAGGCACAGAGCAGGGCTGATCAGGGTATTGGGGTGCCTACCCCTGTCACAAACAGAGCAGGGCGGATAGGGAGATTGTGGCCCCGCTCCCTGTCACACACAGAGCCACAGGGTGATCAGGGGGCTTGGGCGCTGCCCCCTGTCACGCTGCTCCAGGGGCCAGGAGGCCTCTCGGCTCCGCTGATCCCAGTGCTGGGAGGCATATTACCCTTTTACTATATAGGATAGAGGCCTGGTGCATGGGTGGGGGCTGGCTGGTTTGCCCTGAAGGATGTCCTGGATCAGGGTGGGGGTCCCGCTTGGGTGCCTGGATGAGGCGATAATGGCTGTGTGCATCTGGTCACATCCCCTTCAGGTTGGGGGTCCCCACTGGGGTGCCTGGCCAGTCTGGGTGAGCGGCTGAGGGCCGTTTTCAGGCTGGCGGGAGACTGAAGCTCCCAACCGCTCCTTTTTTCCTTTTTTTTTTTTTTATTCTTGGATTTATGGCTGTCACTGGAGCTGAGAGCCGGCTTTAGCTGTGAGACCTCACTGCTGAAAGGAGGTTTCTGGACTTTGTTTACTTTCTGTATTTGAAACTTTGTTGCGACTCCAGCTCTGAGATCCCGGCTGACTGAAAACAGGTTTCTGGGGTTTTGTTTAGCTTCTATATTTGTAAGAATGTTTTTTAGCAGCTCAGAGCCCAGCAGCGGCAGGCGGGGAACATTGGAGTCCTCCGTCACTGAAGCAAGCAAGCCTCCTGTTCGTGTCAGTAGCCTGGCTGCCGGCTGCCATCTTGGCTGGCAGTTAATTTGCATATCGCCCTGATTAGCCAATGGGAAGGGTAGTGGATGTACGGCTAATTACCATGTTTCTCTTTTATTAGATAGGATATATGTATATATAAGTATAAAAATCAATTATTATATATATATATATATATATATATATATATATATATAGATAGATAGATAGATAGATAGCCCTAGACCTGAGTAGATTGGGTATAATGTGATGGTATCTTTTTAAACTATTATTATTTTTTTAAAAACAGATTTCTTCTTGGCAGATTAACCAAAGACAATCTGTCTACATTCTGAGTGCTGCCACCTACAAGATCACCATAACAGATTCCTCGGCCGAAGTCCACCCTGTTACCATACCCTTACCCCACCCCAGACACGACTCTGGGGTCTGCCTGAGGCCAGCAGTGTGAAGATGACCAGCACCTTCCTAGCATGACGACCTTGGACCATGTGATCGCTACCCAGCAGTCAGAGTGGGTCTCCTTCAATGAGGATCCACTCTTTCCCATCCCTTCTGAGGGTAAGCGGTGCTTTCATTTCCTAAGGGAAAGGATTGGCAAAGAACCACACCTGCTTGCTATGGCTTTCACTTGATTATTCTTTGGGTGGAATCTTCATATGGAAAAAAGAGCCAGTCTGTCAGTTTCCTGAGATGCAGGTTCTTCTGGTTAGGAATCTGGAGGAAGCATCTAGGAACCTTGGGTTCCCACACAAGGGCCTGGAAACAGCACAAGTATCGGCTGCTTTCTTCCAAGTAGCATAAACTTTCTATTTACAATGTACTTTACACTCAGCCCTTTGGGTTGTTACTCCCAGCAGCCACTTGGATTTTCTCAAATTTTAAAGTGTAGCTGTTAAGAGTGACAGGCTATAGAGGCAGATTGCTTGGGCTCAAATCCTGGCTCCATCACAGATGAGTGACATGCCCTTGGATAGACTTTTTATTCAACATCTCTGTGTGGCAGTCTATGTGCAGCACAGATAACCACAGTACCTACCTCACGTGGTTGTGAGGAGTAAATGAATTAATGTATGTGCCTGGCTCATGGAAAAGCTCTGTAGTTGTTACCCATGATCATGATGAAGATGGCCAACCTGACTTCTAGGGAACTGGTGCCAAGGCACGAAGTTCAAGGTAGGGTACAGGAGATGGTTGCAGAGCCATATCAGCTGGTTCTGTTCTACTGTAACTGCCTCTGCTAAACCGAAACCAGCCCGCTTCATTCACAGCACTTGGCAAGTGTGAGTTCCGAGGTGTGCCTTCGTTATGAGTTCTGGAGGTGTGGCTAGTCTGCACTGAATTGTGCTAAACGTGTGAAATACTCACACTGGATTTCAAAGACCTAATAAAAGTTAAATTTTTCATTAACAACTTTTATATCAGTTACGTGTTGAAATTATAAATTTTCAACATACTGGGTTGAAATATATATATTAAAAGTAGTTTTGCCAGTTTCTTCTTACTTTTTTTAATGTGGCTACTAGAACTAAAATTACATTTGTGGCTCATTTATTTATTTATTTTTTATTTGACCATGATAATCTAAAGATTTTATTAGTTTGTTTGCTAGTTTGCATTTTTTTTATTTTTTATTTTATTTTTATTTTATTTTTTTATTTTAATTAAATCTTTATTGTTCAGATTATTACATTTGTTCCTCTTTTTTCCCCCCCATAACTCCCCTCCTCCCAGTTCCCGCCCCACCCTCCGCCCTCACTCCCCACCCACTGTCCTCATCCATAGGTGCACGATTTTTGTCCAGTCTCTTCCCGCATCTCCCACACCCCTTTCCCCCCCAAGAATAGTCAGTCCATTCCCTTTCTATGTCCCTGATTCTATTATAATCACCAGTTCATTCTGTTCATCAGATTATTTATTCACTTGATTCTTAGATTCACTTGTTGATAGATGCATATTTGTTGTTCATAATTTGTATCTTTACCTTTTTCTTCCTCTTCCTCTTCTTAAAGGATACCTTTCAGCATTTCATATAATCCTGGTTTGGTGATGATGAACTCCTTTAGCTTTTCCTTATCTGTGAAGCTCTTTATCCGACCTTCAATTCTGAATGATAGCTTTGCTGGATAAAGTAATCTTGGTTGTAGGTTCTTGGTATTCATCACTTTGAATATTTCTTGCCACTCCCTTCTGGCCTGCAAAGTTTCTGTTGAGAAATCAGCTGACAGTCGTATGGGTATTCCCTTGTAGGTAACTGAGTTTCTTTCTCTTGCTGTTTTTAAGAGTCTCTCTTTATCTTTTGCTCTTGGCATTTTAATTATGATGTGTCTTGGTGTGGTCCTCTTTGGATTCCTTTTGTTTGGGGTTCTCTGCGCTTCTTGGACCTGTAAGTCCATTTCTTTCACCAGGTGGGGGAAGTTTTCTGTCATTATTTCTTCAAATAGGTTTCCAATATCTTGCTCTCTCTCATCTTCTGGCACCCCTATAATTCGGATGTTGGTACGCTTGAAGCTGTCCCAGAGGCTCCTTACACTATCCTCGCATTTTTGGATTCTTTTTTCATTTTGCTTTTCCGGTTGGGTGTTTTTTGCTTCCTCGCATTTCAAATCATTGACTTGATTCTTGCGCTCCTCTGGTCTGCTGTCGGGAGTCTGTATAATATTCTTTATTTCAGTCAGTGTATGCTTAATTTCTAGTTGGTTCCCCAATATAACATCGAGGGTCTCATTAGTTTTCTTGTAGATCTCCTTAAGTTTATCGGCGGCTTCTAAACAGTTCTTGAGAGACCTTAAAAGTGTGGTTCTGAACTCTATATCTTCCATTGACAATTTTGTCCTGTTTCTTTGTCTCTGAATTTTGTTATGCTTCCTTGGTGCACCCCCTAGTGGTCTTTGTTCACAGTCTTATAGTTAAAACTTGTTGTAGCTAATACCAGGGAGGGTTTGACCTCCAGGCCAATTGGCTATGAGAATCAGCTGTGTCAGCAGTGAGAGAACTTCTGTCCTCTAGGGAGGTGCTAATCTAGCCTTTGCCTGAGGCTATCCGGCAAATGCCTCTGTGCAGGGCTTGGGCGGGGCGGGTCGCACAGGATCAACAGGGTGGGCCGGAGAGAGCAGTTATGGCGGCTCTCAGTCCTGTCCCCAGGGGCTCTGCCTCTCTGAGTCCCAGCACCCACTGCAAAGCTTGGAGAGAAAGCTGCACTCGCTCTGACCGAAGCCAGACAGTCCCGCTTCTCCCGTTTGAGTCTGGGTCCCTAGAGACTCGCCCGTATCTGGAGCTCAGAGTCTGTGACTCCCTCCCGATTGAAAACGCCAACCGCGCCCTCCGCCACCAGCCCGCTCCGCGCACTCCGCACCTCAGAATTTGACTTCAGTACTGAGCCTCCTCTGAGTGTCCGTATGCGTTTCTCTTTCCTCCTAGTTGTAGGACTTCCACTCAGCCAGCGTTCCTGTGGTTCTTGGTGATGTCCGTTCTGTCTTTTAGTTTCACTTTTGAAGTAGTTGTTCAAAGCAGCAAACTCCGGCGTTAACCTATGCCGCCATCTTGGTTCTCTCACTCACCAATTTTCATAATCCTGTTTGTTTGAGATGAAATTTGATCCAGATGTTTCAGACTCATTTGCATTTTTAAAAAGTTTTTATACACTGCCTGGCCGGTGTTGCTTAGTGGTTGACCATTGACCTATGAACCAGGAGGTCATGTTTTAATTCCTGGTCAGGGAATGTGCCCTGGTTGTGGATTCAATCCCTAGTGTGGGAGTAGGGGGGTAGGGGGAGAGAATGCAGGAGGCAGCCAGTCAATGATTCTCTCTCATCATGGATGTTTCCATCTCTCCCTTTTCCTTCCTCTCTAAAATCAATAAAAATATATTTTTAAAAAGTTTTTACACAGTAAAATGGACCACTTTTTATATATAGTTGATGAATTTTCCATGTATAGATGTGTGTAACCACCACCACAACCAGAGTATAGTTCTTTAAAAAAAACACACACACACACAATTATTTGAAGGCCATTAAATGTTTCAGGACCAATAAAGTGAAACAAATTGAGGGAAGAACTTCTGCAATGTTTAGTTATCACTGGTGCAGGGTTTGCACCTGGTAGCCTGCAGGTGTGTAATTAGGACTGTGTGGAGTTTGAGGTTTAAATTGAAGTGTCTTTAGTCCAGACAGGAGTTCTCCAGGTCAGCCACACTCTCTACTAGTCCCTATTGCCTTTTGCTTTTCTCCTTCGACTCAGTTATATTTCTTGCTTGGCTTATGTGGACATTTTTAGTTGTGACCCTCAAGAATTGGTGTAGATGCTGAGATAAGAACAGTGAACAAGACTACCCCAATCTCAGCCTGGTCATGCTGAGGTTATAGTTTTGAAAACATTGCTAGGAAAACACTCCTTTGGCATAGAGGCAGATGGGCATGCCTGCTGCTTTACCCTCACTCACTGTAATGGTGAGTCCTGTGATCACCCCTTGCCTATCCTTTGTTTTTCCGTCCTTGCACGTGAAGTGATGTGCTGTCTGGTGTCTGTTTCAGGGGCCACCGAAGGGCACCTCCCGGGACGGTCATCATCCTCAGACCAGTCCGAGAGCTCCTCCGGGGAGAACCACGTGGCGGATGGAGGATCTCAGGACCTTTCCCACTCGGAGCAGGATGACTCCTCCGAGAAGATGGGCCTCATCTCTGAAGCGGCCTCTCCTCCTGGAAGCCCTGGGCAGCCCCCACCTGACCTGGCCTTGGCCATCAGCAACTGGGTTCAATTTGAAGATGACACACCCTGGACCAGCACTTCACCACCTCCTCCTAAAGAAACAGGTGGGACAGGTGGGAGGCCAGGAAGGGATCCGGCTCAGGTCTGTGCTCCTCGGGGATGCTTCTCCTTGAGAGTGTAGAAGGCTACCAGGTCTACTTGACCTGCTCCCAAGCCTGAAGCACTGGCCACAGAGGGGAGAGCAGGCAGAGGTCTCATCTGGCTTAATTCTACAAACCATTTTTGTGTTTGTTTTAAAAAATATATTTTTATTGATTTCAGAGAGGAAGGGAGAGTGAGATAGATTTAGAAACATCAGTGATGAGAGAAAATCATTGATCTGCTGCCTCCCGTATGCCCCACACTGGAGATCAAGCCTGAAGCCTGGGCATGTGCCCCGACCGGGAATCAAACCATAATCTCCTGGTTCATAGGTTAATGGCTCAACCACTGAGCCATGTTGGCTGGTCTGCAAACTGTTTTTGTTATCATCAGCATATGGAAGGATTTCTGTGTTCTGGGCCATTTTCAGCCTTTCACTCTTGTCCCTTGCTATTGACCTGTCTGGGAGGTATGCATATTTCTTTATCTATTAGGGATTAGAATTGCATTTACTCTGTACCTAAATTGTCAACTCCTTACGCATAGAAATGAATGTCTCTGAGTGTGAACCACCAACCATCTCTAATAGAATCACCAGTTAAATGTGGATATTTTTGTGTCCCAAACCTCTTGAATCCAAATCTTCAAGGGGGGCACTGTCTTTAGTGCTAAGTACCTGATTTTGTGGGATTTCAATGGCTGGAAGCTCCACTGGAGAGCTTGGCGAAGCCAGAGGAGTTGCTAGTCCTCACCTAGTAACCTGGCTACAAGGGTGACTGGGGGGCTGTGTTTGTTTTCTATGAATAGCTGTAACAAATTACCACCAACCTAGTGGCTTAAACAGCACAGTGTTATTATTTTACAGTTCTGTAGCTCAGAGGACCAACCTGGATGCCACTCGGCTAAAATCTAGGTGTTGTCAGGCCAGCATTCCTTTCAGGAGACTCTCAGCAGAATGGGTTTCCTTGCACTTTCCAGCTTCCAGCAGCCCGTCACATTCCTTGACATGTGCCCCAGGCTCCGTCTCAGGAGCTAGCAGTGCTGCATCTCTCTGTGCCTTTGTTCTGTGCACATCTCTCTAATTGACTCCTGCCTCCCTGTGCATTTGAAAGGCCCTTGTGATTACCTTGGGCCCCCCAGAATCATCCTGGATAATTTCCCCATCTCAAAGTTCCTTTTACTGTATAAGGTGCCCTACTCACAGGTTCTGGGTATTAGGTGTGGACATCATTTGTGAGGGGCATTATTTTGTCTGCCACAGAGAAGAGCAAAAAAGCAAGGCTGATAATTTTTTCTGTTGATAAGTTAAATGTTTTGCTCGTTTCAATTTTTTAAAAACAATTCCTTTGTTTTTCAGACATGCCTTTAACACCAGTAAAAACAATTTTAGGAAAAGATGAAGTGTAATTCTGCCATATAATAAACACTTCCACTTTTACTTACCGATTTGCCCATTACTGTATGCGTTTCCCTATTTAAGCGTCAGATTTCTCTTGTTGGTGAGAAAGCCTCTGCCCTAAAAGCAGCAAGGATGAAGTGACAGGTCCAGACAGGCTTCCCGGTGTAGCTGGAGGGAGGCAGTAACCTTTTCTAACACCTGATACTGGCCAGACAATGGGCTGATGAAGCACTTATACATGTGGCGAAAGTTACTGAGTGCTGGGCAGTGAATCAATACACAGTATGTTTCTTATTTTTAGTAAGATAACGCGTACTGAGTGCTTACTCTCCCAGGCACTACGCTCAATGCTTTGTACTCCTCACCACAATCATGTGAGGAAGGTATTAATATTATATTCATATTACACACGAGGAGACTGATGAGACAGTGGTTTTGGAAGTTGCCCAAGGCTTTGCTGGGAAGTGTCAGAAGAAAGCTTCCGACGCCAGGCAGGCAGGCCCCAGGATCTCAGAACAGCCTAGGCATGTTCAGTGGTATGTTCCGTGGATCTGCCTGCCCAGCTGTAGTTTCCTCCGCTCCCTCATTCCTGGGAGGCTGGGGGGTGAGGGAGGGATGGGGTGGTATTTCTCCACTCATTTGCCCTAAAATGGTCATTGATTACATTCTTGGCATTCAGATTCTTTCACATCTTGTTCATTCATACTTCGTCTTTAGCCTTAAATATGGCTCAGAACTATTTATATGACAGTTGAGTCAATTTGCTTCCATTCTTCACCACTTATTTTTGCAAACTAACTGGAGATAACCATAACTATGTTGCCCCCATTTGACTGAGGATCCCAGCCTGTAACAGATGATGTTACGGATAGTGTTGAAAGTTTATGGCCCTCGCTGGGTGCTCAACTGGTTGAAGTGTGTTTCATGCGTCAAAAATGTTGTGAGTTCGATTCCCAGTCAGGGCATATATCTGGTTGTGGGTTCAATCCCTGGTCAGGGCGAGTACAGGAGGCAACTGATTGATGTTTCTGGCTCTATCTCTCTCTTCCTTCCTCTTTCTCTAAAATAAATAAAAAAAAGCATATCCTCAGGTGAGGATTAAAAAAACAAAACAAAATAAAAACCTTATCCTTTAAGGCAGCAGTTCTCAAAGTTTAGTCTATAGATCCAGGAGGATTCCGAAGACCCTTTCAGGAATCAGAGTGGAGTCAGAGTGATTTTTATAATAACTCTAAGATGTTATTTACCTTTTTCACTGTACTGGTATTGGCATTGATGGTACAAAATTAATGGTGAGGAAAACTTCTGGCACTGTGTACTTACTTTAAAAAGTCAATCTCACTTAATATCCTTGATGAAGTAGTACAAATTCTTAATTTTATTAAATCATGATTCTTAAGTATATCTCTTTAATATTACCTGTGACAGGTTGGGAAATATGCATAAAATACTTCTTCTCCATATCAAAGTATAATGGTTGTCTTAAAGAAAAATGGTTACCTAGAAAAATAATTGGGTTTTAAATTTTTTCAATTAAAGAAATAAATTTAAAAAGTTAAAATTGTCTTTAAATGTTTATAATTAAAACTAGAGGCCCTGGTTTTTGTGCACTGGAAGCCGGGAGGGGGGTGTCCCTCAGCCCGGCCTGCGCCCTTTCTAATCTGGGACCCCTTGGGGGATGTCTGACTGCCAGTTTAGGCCTGCCTTCCCCTGCCAGCCTGATCGCCCCCTAACTGCCCCCCCCCCCCGCCTGCCTGATCACCCCTAATGGCTTGCTCCCCTGCCTGCCTGATCACCCCTAACAGCTTGCTCCCTGGCGGCCTGATCGCCCCTAACTGCCTCTGCCTCAGCCCCTGCCATCGTGGCTTTGTCCAGAAGGAAGCCGGATGTCCGGAAGATGTCCGGTTGACCCCATTTAATTAGCATATTACCCTTTTATTAGTATCGATAATGCAAAAAAGTCCTTGAATAAAATATTAATATTTTAGAAACAGATCCCCCAACACTTACATGACTGCCACACACATCTCATCCTAATCCCAGCACTAGTTGTAATAAGACATGTTTTGTAGGTCTCCCTTCATTTGCTTTTAATTCTCCCCCAGAGCTCTTACTCAGTTTTGCCCCAAATCAGTAGTGCCCACCTGAAAAAACTGGGGCGGGGGGCGGGGAGGGGGTGGGCAGCTTATATAGAATGAGTGACTGTCTGGTGTTTTTTAGTCTAATCTGACAATATAGAAACAAACTATCAGTTTCCCATTTACCCATCCTAAAAATGCTTCTCTTAGCTTATGAATTTCCATCAATCAGATCCTGGATCTATAATGGCTAAACTTCAGTATATCAAGTAAAAATTATGTTGGTATGGATAACACATGAATGAATTGGAATTGAGTATGCAAGATATTTGATCTGTTGTATTTAAACATGCAGAAATTGAATCTATGGAGAATGGTGGAATATGTAGGTGTGTCTCCATGCATAGCAGGTAGTGAAGTTCAGCCAGAAAAAAGGGCTCCATGGGAACTGAGTTTTGGCTTCAGCCATTTTCTCAGTCACCTAAGTATCAATAGAACAAACAGACTCTTTCCTATAAGATAGTTGCAATTTCTTTCCATTTCATTCCTCGTGTCCCATTTGCCTGTATTAAATGCCCAGCACTTCTGATAAGACAGAGGTCTCTGTGTCAGGAGAAAGGGAAAATGTATGTCTTGGATCTGTCCCTTGCAGCTTCTCTGTGAATATCCCTATATGAGAAGATTATGATCTTGGCCTAAGAGAAATAGGTGGGAGGACCAAAAAAAGAGAATAAATGGGACCAATTAGGGCTGTTCCTTGTCTGGATTTCCAGAAGCAGACAGTGGAGCCTTACTTAGCCAGCTGTGCCAAGCCTTAACATCTGGCTTGCAAAGAGAAGTTAGGAAAGAAAGAAAACACACACACACACACACACACACACACACACACACACACACACACACACAGTAGCAGGTGAAGAAATGTTTTTCTGGGATGCTCCTCTTCTTCCCCCAGTTCCCATGCCTTCACTCTTTCCAGTTTTTCGGGCAGATGAAGCACACACACACACACACACAAAAGAATTTATCCTTTAAGCTGTGCCACCTAAGAATAAAGGCTGGGGAGCATTGGATTTCAGCCTGGAATGGGAATGTACTCTTGGCCCTAATTAAAATGCAAGGAGGCTGTAGGCATGGTGGAGTTAGGGACAAAGAGACTGTCATTAGTGGTAAATCTCTTATTTTTGTGGCATTTAAATACCAGAAGCTGAGCTGGTAGCTTAGGGAAGCCAGGGAGTTGCTAGTCCCCACCCTGGTGACCTGGCTACTTAGTTTATTGTTCACTGAAGCATACCAAGGTCAATTGTATAACCTGGAACCACAGCTGGTGGGGAAAACAACTCCAGAAATGCTTACATCCATCAAGGGAACAAGTTTCTTTTGGATTTCAACTAGGGCAGGATTTGCAGTGAATTAAGTGCCATTGTGGTTGGTCTGGGGAAAAAGAGATACAGATCTCCCTTAGGAAAAATATATTAATAAAAGC